CTTGTTTTGGTCACCGCCTGTCAGTGGGAGTGGCTTTCCCCTCGCTCGGACCGGCAGTTAAGGTTTTACCGACAGCTGGAGCGCCGTCCACGAGGGCCGATCCCGCTGACAAGCGAGCGCCGATCGGTCTGTACCCTTATTTCACTTAATCCGTTGTATCCGGTTGATCAAATAAATATATAAATCAACTGGTTTGTTGAAGAAAATAGAAAGGGCCGCGACATTTGGTGGGTCAACCGAATAAAAAGAAATCAACTTATTTTCGACACATAAATTATGTATATACGGCGTTTTCTCGAAATTGGATCAAAACCACTCTTGTGCCTCGAACAAACCCAAGCAACTAGTGAGATCCAAGTAAGCTGCGACAACAAGATGCAAGAATGTGCGGGGTAACAAGTCCTACCTTGTAAAGTAGTTATGCTTTTGTGTACTTTCTTGAGATGGTCCATGACATCGTTTAAGGCTCCCTGCCATTTACATGCAGCACCAGGGCAAGGACAGCTGTAAGGGCTGAAACAGGACACGATGAAAATAAGTCCTGCTCGACTAATTTGAATGTTTTAACTTCTAAATAAGATTGTAACAAACCGGCATTCACAAGTTTCCTCATGTTCGACTTTGTCGAAGTGATAAAAGAAAAGTGGACAACCGGAGGAGGCGAATTTGCATGGAAAACGAACAGTGTTGGCAATCTTTTCAAGACCAAGGTTACGAACGCTGGCTAAAAATAAAGCACTTAAACACCATCGATAGGTACTATGTAAGGAGGCAGTATTACGTGTTGGTCCACGGCAGGTCGGGCAGCACTGCAGTTTTGGACGACAATTACCGCAAACTAGGTGACCAGCTTGACATTGTAGGTATGGCGGTAGCATGTATTCCAAGCAAACAGGACATTCAAAAACCGAGAGCACCTAAAAATTGAGATGATTGACTTGACACTGAAAAGGAATTTTCTAAAACATAATGTCACTAAACGACGTCCAACGTGAAAGCAATCCTTATCAAATAAACAAACCTCTGCGCTGCTATCAGTATGTTCGGTGGCGCCAATAGTTGCAATCTGTGGAGCTACGCTTTGAGTTGAAAGCGAAGACGGGGAACAAGTGACCACTGGAACTGCAGAAGGAAAATTACATTCCATCCGTTTGTAAATTATTTCTCCAGTCAAAGAGAAAGTCGTTACCTGGGGGAGCTGTTGCTTGAACGCGTGCGAGATTCTTCTGATGTGGAGCTGCCACGCCGTGGTTTGGTGCCGTAGGACCCATAAACTGCGAAGGCGGAGATCCAGAGCGGCTACCGCTACGATCTGTTGTTGTTGTGCTGGTTGTGGTAATAGAGTTTGGGCCACATAGTGCTGTTGCTGATGACGAGCCCGATGAGGACACCGCTGCCGACGGTACCTTAACGGAGAAAACTTAAATATGACATTCAACATGGAGACTTGTCAGCAGGAAACATCTAATAGAACAAGTTTGATGATAAGACTTCTTGCGATAGAAATAAAACCGGGTGCTTGAACTAGAGGAGGACATTTTGATACATAGTTCAGCGGACAGCGAAAATCATTACTTCACACAAGGAGTCCTCTCAAGCTGATAAACGAAATTCATCTCCACCCATTTCTTGAGTTTATCTTTCAAATGTTGCACGGCATTTGGCATTGGATGCTGCGAACAAGCAATTATGAGCGCAGGTTGATGAGGACTTTTTAGAGGAAGAGCTATGGGGTGTGTGGTAATGAAATTCCCTTCTGGAATATATACGGTCCCTCCACCTGCAGTGAGAATGGTCACGCACCGACAATCCACTTCCCGTCCTGGCTAGCAAAAGAAAGCCTCCCACTGCCTTTTGGCGACTCATGCACGCAACAAGCATTCCCCATCTAAGGTGAACGGAATTTTGAAACATCTTATTATCGATCTTATATTTTTCGCCAGGAGCAAAGAAGAAAAAAAAGCACTCGGAACGCTAAAGCCGAAGTTGTAAAAGGAGATCTGTATAAAAGAATAGCATTGAAATAATAGGCTGTCCCACAAGTTCGTGTCACCTTTTTTGCAACTCATGAAGAACTTCATTTAGCGATTTCTAAATGTGAACAACAAGGCAACGGAGAGCCTACTACGTGGTGTAACCAATACCGAATCCACCGCCCCACCTAGCTATTTTTAGAGCTCAAATGAAAAAGAAGCCAGGTTTTTATCTTGAATATGAAATTCTACCACAGTTACACCGGTTGGAGTAGGATTTGGAGGAGGAGACCAGGAGTAAGATTTGCTTTGCGGTACATATTCTTGTCGCGTTAACCATGCGGTATCAGAATTCATACCTGGTTGGCTCTGAAGACTACAGCCTGCAATCTTGACCCGGAAGGCAATCGATGTTTGATTTGGACCAGCTATACCCGCACTAGTTTGTTCTGTGTGGACCGACACACTCAGACATTTTAGATACACGATTGATAAATGTCTACCTCCCCTGGAAAATGTACAGCTTGAGCAACGAAATCCTCATGAATTGATCAGTAATCACAAAAAAGCAACACAGAGGTAAACGTCTTCAATCCCGTTCCACGTTTCCATCCCCCCGCAGCAGCTGAACAACGCCGCTACTGTTGATGACATGTGGCTGTAGTATGCTAATTACCTGCAGACGCACCAGTAGCTGTATGATCAGCAAAACGTTCTGGTCCACGTATGGAAAGTAAATGCAAACCTCCACGGGCAACTTCAAACAGCTTTGGCCTTGCTACAGTCAGATCCCTGTCGAAGGCCTGAAGCTGATAAGAAACTGCCGATTAACGCGACCGATCCAATAATGTATGCCCACTCCACGACAACCGAGACCACGTGTCTCGGATATGAAACGGCTCTAGATTTCGCGGCTTACGTTAAAAGTTCTATCAAATCTCTACGAAGGCCATCTATTCTTTTTACTAAAGGCTCATTTCACGACAAAAAATACGATTTGAACAAGAGGCTCGAAATCGACCTCCTTACGTTTTCACCTTGGGACTGCTGACCTTCTAGAGACACGGCCCAAAATCCCGGTGAGCTGTCTCGTAACAAGCTTGGAATAATGATCCACATATTGAAGATGAACATTGCTTTGATTGAGATGTTTACTCAAAAAATGTTTGAAAATGGCACGAACTTTTGGCACACCCTATATTCGCTAAAGTGCAGCTACAAGGGTTGCGAACAACTCCTGGACGCCCCCAAATCTACTTCTTTGCTATCCGCTATTCTCGCGTTTCGTAGAAACCACAAGCCGCGCCGCCGGAGCGATTCAGCTCTGTGCAAGAGTGACGTCAGTAATATCATGCGCAAAAGAAATGCTCGAAATTTGATTGCCAAATTCAAATGTTTGATGATACTTCGGCTTGGACGACACCTCAACACCGGACTTCCTTCGAAATACAACAAGGAGCGAGTCAATACATTTGTGAATGAAGGCGGGGCCAAAAAGCCAGGAAACTAAGAGATGAAGGAAGGATCTTAACATTGCCCAGTTTGCCGAGAAAAAGGCCGTAATTAAAAAAAACAAGAGCCCACACGGCTAAACCACCCTATTCCACAACAAGGTGGCCCTTTTTGACTTCACATCCACCGTACTCACCGCATCACGCAACAACCATCATTTACACTCACCTTCAAATCTCGAAAACAATGAGGAGCTTGAAATCTGACTCCAAAACCTCTCCACTCTGAGAACAATCATCCAGTCAGAAGGTGAGAACAATTTATCAATGACATTGGACAATCATTTTCGTTTTCTTTTCACGTTCCGCTCAAGTTTTGCGAAGTAAAAATCTTACAATATCACTAATACATTATATAGCAAAAAAGGAAACCACACTCGAGCCCAGATTAATTTGTGAGAAGTGAATCCTACGATGTTTACCTACGACATCGTAATATACAGGGAGGGGGTAAGCAGAAAAAAAAGAAATTAGCTCACGTCGCACCTCAGCAATTGTTCCACGCAAAAATGCTGCCGTTAACGGAGTTCTACACCAAAGTATTCCTTGAATATCCCTCTGACTCAAACCTTTCTTCATTGCCCTCACCGTCTTCAGCATATGACGTCATCTGCCATCGCCGTCGAGCCCAAGGAGAACTACCGTAATTGCTCCACCCCGAAGCTCATATATAATTTCTTGAATGGATTCCCTGTTGGAGGGGTTTCCTAGAGACATTATCTCTGACTGCGAACCCCTTCCAACCAGCGCTTCGAGAAAGTTCGCAATGGTACACGATCCGTCGAGGAACCCCTCAAGCTCGACCTGTGCACAGTTTTCGGCTCCCCCACTTTCTTCACGATTTGGGGCGCGGCCGCGGCGAGCGCGGACGAGTCGATAGTGCCCGCGAACTGTGGTGGTGATGCGTTTTCAAATTTACCCACACAGTTCGCGGGCACTATCGACTCGGCCGGGTTTGCCGCGGCCGCGCCCCAAATCGTGAAGAAAGTGGGGGAGCCCAATTTTCCGGAGCAGATTCTTCCGATTTCTTATAAAGCCATTACGAAGTTTAATTTGTAAGATGGGATGCATTCTTCTATTTCATATTGGGGCATTCGCTTTAATTTAGCAGAGTGTGATTAAATCCATTTAAACGTGGAGACAAAATGTATAGTATAGCCCCCTGTATTGAGGAATAATGACATGATGTAATTAAAAGGTGTATATCGAAAGCATGAGATTGGGGGGTGTAGGGCGTGATTATGGAAGTGAGTGCAACTGATAGAAACTATGTGGTGATAAGTTCGCTTACAACATAAATGGGGGCTGACTATAGCAAGCATGCTGGGAAACAATTTACGCAATTCGATTCAGACTGAACTCACTCTACGTGACGATAAACAACCGCTCAACATTCGGGATATAGACTGTATTTTAACTAACACAATGCGATTACTACGATGAACAATGTAAATGAGATATATTGAATGCATTCTTTCATGTTTTACCACAATAAATCGCTCCGTAGATCTATACATGCCATTAAATAGCGTCTCAAAAAGCCTTTGCTGACTTCGCGACTTCCAAAATGTACGGAGACCATCTGTTTCACTTGTACAACTTATTTAACAATTTGGTATATCTTAACTTCGGCAGTCGTTGTGTTTACAAATGATCTATAATTACCTGGCCGTGGTTGTTGCTACTCATCAACGCAACAAAGACAGCGTGCTGGAAAGCCCGCCAGCGCAGACGTTACTGCAAAGCTGTGTACCTGAAACACTTTGGTAGAACAAGCCATCAAAAAATAACCGAGGGTATCGCTGAAAGACTGCACGAAAACACGAAAACTATTTCACAGAAGTTCATATGGCTAGACACTGTTGCAGCCAAATCGATAAGGAAACATTACGAAGCGGATTCTCAATGACACTGAATATAAGTGTCCATTAAAAGCAAATAAATATTTGGGAAAGCATCGAATAGAAACATTTGCCTAACAATGCAAGCATTACCGAAACAAAAGTCGAAATAGAAACCTATACAGGTGAAGAGGATAAAGATAAAATAGGATCACAACTACCCAAGCCGTGTTTGACGCGACAGACGGGTTTTCACGGTTCATCGACTTATTCACCATAGCGCGACAGTTTATAATGACTACCGAATCGCAAGGTTGAAACATCAAGGCGAGAAATGCTGATATTGGAATACATCAACTTGTCGATGCTTCATGGAGAGAAGCGGTTTCCCAAGGCGAACCACCTCGCCGCTCACCTCCAGCGCGCGCGAGCAGCTCGCGAGCGGCAGGTGGCCAGACACTGCGCGGATAGCGTGCCTACGCAGGAGACGCAGACGTGTTGTACGTGCAGACAGCGAGGCAGAGACGGAGCGCACAGAGAGAACACGCTCAGCTGACTGCCGCCGCTGCCGCTACAGCATCGATTTGTGACGCGCTCACTGCACGCGAATGAAACCCGCAACCTGCCGCTACGGCCACTGTTCCGGTGAACCGGGTTCATGACGTCACCTGCGCCCAGATCGACCCATCGGGTACGAAAGAACCATGTGATTGGGGACAAATTGCTCAGCCGTGCCCCATTTTTGCAAGCATGGGTCGCGGCATTACACGTAACACCAAAGTTAGCCGTGCGTTCGCGCAATTCGAACGAGGGGGTTGTGATTTTAGTTAGGTAGGTAGCATTTAGGGTTGAGTAAGGATAAGTACCTCTGGAAAGTGTCAATTGGGGTCGTGAAAATTTTTTACGGTTTTTTTTTTCGAGGATTTTGGCGAATGATTCACGAAAGCAGGGTAAAGTTGACGAAATTGGTGAATGTGTAGCCTCATGATTTCCCTTTTCTCTGATTTACCTCCTCCCCGCTCCACGGCCGTATCAGAGGGTAAAGTGGGCTAAATTGGAGTGTGTCGAGAGGTCTCAGAATTGCATACATGGAAGCAGCCATGACCAGCCATAAATTAGTAAAAAAAAGTGACCACTAGGATAGATTGACTAAGGACTTACAAGAAAACATTTGGAAAAAATATTCAACTGTCTACAATTTCCTGAAAAGATTTCAGTATCCATGATGAAGCACAAAGCTTGTGCGATGTCATGTTTTCATTACTCCTCATAAAATTGAGTTTGAAGAGAGCTGTAACTGTTTGAGTTTTGAAAACTCGTGTTTTCAGAAGAGTTTCTCCGAAAATTCATGAAAAAATTGTCCAACGGGCGATTTTTTGAACGAGTCATTTTGGGAACGAAATTAAGTATTCATTAGAAAGCACTAACCTTCTAGTTTCTTCCAGGGGACAAGAATGCAAAAAGTTCAATCTGAAGAAAGTTATAACAGTTCAAAGCCAAAAAACCAGCGCTCTGCCAAAAATCGGTCCGCGATTTCCCAAAACGGTCCAACGGGGCGATTTTTTGACTCCATCAATTTTGAAAGAGTTCAAGTATTCGTTAGAAAGCTCTAACCTTCTAGTTTATCCCAGGGGGACAATAATTGCAAAAGGTTCAATCTGAAGAAAGTTATAGTCATTGAAAGCCAAAAAAAAACCTGGTTCTGAAAAAAATTGGTCCAACGGGGCGATTTTTTGAAGAGACTTGCAAAAGTTTGAGTACTTTTTAGAAAGGAAACAATCTGGTGTTTCAAATTTTCTTACCACTTCTCACATTTCCTTATTTGAAGAAAATTACAACCTTTCAAAGGAAGAAGTGCGCATTTCTGTGAATTCCGGTTTCTCTACCCCATAACTAACACAGTTTGAAGAAACTGCAAAAAAGTGGTTGTTTTCGGAAACTAGGGGTCTCGTAGATTACAAATCCACTTTGCATTTTGAAAAATATTGACGCTGAACAGAATTACACTCTTTTGAAAATTAGTAGTCCGCCTCGGTCTATCCGCGCTGGGTCGAGGGGAAGATTGTGCGCGCCAATGCGAACGCAACGCTCCCGTGCTCAATTTGGTTCCCCGGCGGGAATGTTCTACTTATATCAAAGTTCTGTTTTATGGTGTTTTCTATTTGATCCTTATAAAGTAGGATACACGTTTATATATCCGTATACACACATACACACATAAACACAAACAAATGGTGTTGAGTGGGGGAGGGGGTCGTATCGAGGCCCTCCAGAAGGGGGGGGTCGTAAAATTTTTGAAATTTGTCCAACGTGACGGCTGATCCTGTGTGAGAGTGGTGTGTGATCGAGTCAGGGAGAAGGGATGTCGGGTTGCGGTGGCCTCCTAAGGCTGAAGGTAGTGATTGGGATCGCATGAGAACTCCTAATGAGGTGGGGGTTGCAAAATTTTGGAAAAGTACGAACGAGATGGCTGACCCTGCATAACACTGGACGTCAAATCCATGTATACGGTTCCGCAAGGGGCTGACTTTTTCATATTGCTTATATCACTTCGCAAATATTGCAGCTTTCCGATAGCTCATTCAACTTGGATAAAGAGCGGTAGCATGGTAAGCGATCCTACACTCTCTGCTTCAGTATTGTTAGAGTGCTCTGCAAAGCGGTAAGACTCGGGCTTGGAGGGGGTACGCAGCGGCACGGCCCTACGGACGGACGCAACGGACTACTTGAACCCGGTCCTTCAAGCTGCCCCAATTTGATGCTATCGCCTGCGCTCTCGGCGGGTCCCTTCTCTCTCCCAGGCTCAGTCCTAGGGCTTAAACCCGCTCCTCTTATCAAGAAAAACAAACGCAATCATTCACATCAAATGGAAATGGTTTATCTCCCAGATGTACCGCGGTCGACACTGGTCAAAATAGCCGCAGTGGAAGGGTGCTGGTCGCACTTGGAATTGGGGGGGGATCGTTTGTAAACAGGGGAAAGGCATTTTGCCCATGCCGCACATTAGCTATTTTTCCGCCACACAGATTGCCGTCGTGCGCGCAATTCTCACAAAAAGGTATTCCTGTAATGCCCCTTTATAAGTAGGCGCAGACCCACCTTTGGTGCCATCACCGTCTTCAGAATATGATGTCACTTATCATCGCTGTCGAGCTCCAAGGAGACCTACCGTAATTCCTCCCTACTGTAGCATTCACAGCGAGTTTTTCGTACACTGGCGACATTTTATTAGAGACATTCAGTTAAAGCGAATCGGTCGCCAGACACGCATAGAGAAGTAATTCCGTGTCTGGAGTGGAATCTGGTATCTGCACACATTGCTAGCAACTTTCACCGGAAGAGGTTCTGTCAACCTAGCCTTGTCGACGGTTTTTCTCAGTTTTTTCTCCACTGTCGTTCCACTTCGCATCTCTATACTCAGTTTCAATCGCCATAATACCCCCTTATTGAGCCCGACTTTTGCCTTTAAAGGCAAACCTCGGGATTAGTCCGACTTGTAGGGAGGGTACCGTGAGGGAGAATAGTAAGGCCCCTACCTACCTAGATCACTTCAGCTCCGCCGCAAAAGTTGCGCGGTTAGGCGCTAATCCTTACGGGCCTGCAACCATCGATCCCGTTGCAACGCTCCTTTTTTATCACCGCTTTTATCCCGAGGCTTGCCTTTAAAAATGCATGACTCCTCTTTTCTGAGCGGCTCCGAGCATTCCTGAATAACATGGTATGAAACAATGCTGTGGTTTGAACCCCTGGAGACATGTTTTTGTATTTAACTGTTTTTATAGTTTTGTTTCACAACCCAGCATTCTTGTGAAACCACTGGAGACAATTTTTCGCACATCTCTGATTTTTAGGTTCTTTGTCTACACAGGGGGGACAATAAAAAATGACATTTTGCTCCACATTCAATGTAGTTAAAGGAGGAATTCACGATTAGAATGAAGGTCGAAGAAAGGGAAACTGACCTAGTTGAGGGACCCACGGACCTCCTGAGGGTGCGAACTGACGCGCAATTCGCATGGAAAAATTTGACCTCGGCGACCTATCATGCCTCAAAGCTGGCGGGATCTCCGCCCACCGATCATCTGATCACTCGCCGTAGTTCAATACGTGGCGAGTGATTAGATAGCTGAGAGAGCGTAGTGTTGAAGAGGGCACAGCGATGAGAGTCGCATCAATGCTCGAATCAACGGGCAAGGAAGGGGTACCATTTCTCGGGTTCTGGGCCGTTTCTCATGGTTCTTCCTTCTTTCGTGTACCACTCACCATCCCTAGGTTAATTTGAAATGGGTTGCTTTTTCATCGTGAATTCGTCCTTTAATCACACTTCGCTCAATTCAAACCGAATGGTTCCAACTTATTATTTGAAGAGCGCATTTCATTCTATAAGAAAATCTTCATAGTGGCCACCTGGACGGCATCAGAAAAATTTGCCCTGGAAACATGGTGCACTGGTCGAGCTCAATGGGGTCTTCGAAGGATCGTGTACCATAACGACCTTTACTGAAAAGCTAGTTTCGAGGGGATTTGCATAGTGGGAGCTAATGTCCTCTAGAAACTATCCAACATTCGATTCACGAAATTATGTAAGAGCTTCAGGCTGAAGCAGTTACGGTAGGCCTCCTTGAGCTTGACGACGGTGACAGATGACGTCATATTCTGAAGACGGTGAGGGCAGTGAAGGAGGGCCTGCGTCTACTTATAGAGGGACATTTAGGGAATACTTTGCTGAGGAACTTCCGTCAACGACGGCAATCTCTGCGAAGAAAAAAGGCCGAAGTGCGACATGGGCAAAATGTCTTTTTTTGGACCCCTTCCCCTGTATGTGTCTAAACTCACTCGTTGAACAAAACCCTTCCAATATGCATATTCAGTGCTACAAATGAGAGAGTATACCAAAAATGTGAATGTTTCAGTTCCTGAGAGAAATTTTTGCTTTTTTCATGGCAGCCTGAGCCGCTCAAAAGAAAGCTTAAATATTATATTATCAGTTTCATGCTCCACGAACGCTCTCCTATGACATGTAACAAACCGTATCGAGAAAAGCGCTCTTTGTCGTGAACGACATTCTTGGTACGACTAAGGATAAGATAATATGTGAACGACTCATTTCGAGCGTACTTTTGATAAGGACCGGTGGATGTCCTACATTCCACACTACCTGCCCACATCCTATCCACTTTTCTGCACAGGTCATCCACCCTGGAGCTCCTCCACCCTTAGGCCCTAGGCAGAGGTGTCCATTCTCCATTTTTCCTTGGACCATGGCAGGCGGAAACGT